TAAACAACACAATTCTATTTTTTTTCCGAAGATACCGCTGAAGAGAGTCTGAAAGCTCATCAATCGTCATTATGGAAACAAAATAATGCCAACTATTTTTTTCCTTTCTCTGTAAAATTTTTATTAATAATAATTGTTTCACTCTCTATTTTTTTGAAATTCAAAAAATGTTTTATACAATAAATTTAAAATTAAGATAAATAAATTTATAAATTTTAGCAGGATTGGTAGTCTCTAATTTGAAATTTCTGATATGTTGTTAACGTTTGGGGAATTTTAAGAATTGAAAACACAATTTATCAATAATTGATAAAAAGATGAGATTAGTGTTTATCCAATGATGGATGTGATTAACATTTATCAACTGCACCACCAAACAATTTAGGCTGAAAAACACTTTAAAATTAGAGAAAGACTGCACTTTAGAAAAAAAAAAAAAACCATGTCAAGACTTAAAATTACATTATTTTATTAAAATACTACAAAAAAATTAAAACAAACTCAATTTTAATTTTAAAAAAGATTATTTTAATTTTTTAATAAAATTTATTAAAATAACATAATTTTAATGTTTTTTACCTCTTCATTTTTTAGAAGCTTAGTATACAAACACTTTTTCCTTATAACTATGATTTTTTAATTAAATATTACAGAAAAAATACCAAAAATATATTAAAGTATTGTTTTAAAAATAAAATATTTTAATCTTTTCAATAAAAATTGATTAAAACAACCTAGTTTTTCTAATTGAAAATTTTTTCAGATAATGAATTTGAAAAATGTACTCCCAAACAGTATCATATATTGTATAATCCATTGTGAAGACCACAAGGTAATATATAAAGATTCTTTATTTTCTTCAAAATTTTTATTATTTGTCCTAAAGACTCATAAGGGTTCAACTTAGCATGAATCAAAATGGGAATCTTGCAAATGACAAAAATGAAATTCACAAGTGCTGATAAAAAAAAAAAAAGAAATTCATAAGTAAAATAAAATGTATTATTGCAGATTTTTCTTATGATGAAAAACAAAAGACTAGAAATCAAGTGAAAAACCATATTTTTGAGCCACTGCTCAAAATGTCTCATAAGTTCATAACACTCACACCCTTCTAACCATATTAACAGAAAGACCGAAAGCATCAGAATCTTATCTGTCAAGTGGTGATTTTATTACATATCATAGAAGTGTCGTCTATGGCACAAATTTTCCTTTGATGCATATAAACCATTTGTCTCCTACGTTTGACAGTCATCCCAATTCAGTGGTCTGTCTTCAAAATTGTACTCAGATTGTTGAAGCCTGGTTTGCTGAGACAACCTGCTCATTACAGCAAGACCTGGAAACAGCAACATGAACAAAACTGATCAGGAAGAACAGACAAGAAGATATTTATTCTTCAGATATCATGTGTGGTCATGTACAGGTGTGTGATGTGTGGATTTCCTTCAAAGAATTCCTGTTCAAGCAAGGTTATATTAATGCATACCTTCAATCATTCTATAGAGAGCTGACCACCAACTGTCACTTGTAACTTGGCACTGCTGTAGTGCATTGTCTATGTGGTTATCATGCTTCCCCTCCAAAACATCTTGCAGTGTTATGACAGCATTTTTTGTTTTGTTGAGGATATCATTCTCATTTTCAAAATCCAAACTTTGAAGATCGCCCTGTGAGGAAGTAAGGCTGACAGATAGGGCAAACCGAGCAGCAGCAGCCCAGCGGGAAGAAGCTAGCCATTTCCTCTTTCCATCCATCCTCTTAGTCTCTCCTCTGCTCAACTTGCCCTCTTGACATCCGAAAACTAACCCACGTAAGTACTCAGCATTTGCAGGTCCGGTACTTTGAACCATTTTTGTGAAGGCACTTTCTTCTTTAGATAACAGTTCCTCTGGAGTGTCATTCTCTAGAACCTGAATAATAGATAGAAAGTTCTGAGTCAATGAGCTTCTCTTTAACAAAAAAGTATATATATCAAGCAAGAAAAATGCTGTTATGCAGTTGTAAAGTTCAGCCCTTCCATATTTGTGTTCTATATACCCTCGCATTCGCAGGAAGAAAGAAAGGAGAAATTGTCAACAATAACAATCAATTTGAAGGCTCACCTGACCAGCATCAAGCACAACAATCCGATCACAGTCAATGATTGTATTTAGTCTATGAGCAATAACGATCATCGTGCAGGATTTAAATTCTTCCCGAATGGTTTTCTGGATAAGAGCATCAGTCCTAACATCAACAGCAGCAGTTGCTTCATCAAGAACAAGAATCTTTGATCTCCGCAGCAATGCTCGAGCAAGACTTAATAGTTGCCTCTGCCCAACACTAAAATTCTCCCCACCCTCCAAAACCTTGATGTGAACCAAGTGAAATTAAATAGTCAAGAACTGTTGTGCTTTCTCTTTGCTTTGGACATTACATAGAAATATGCGTTTTGTTGCACATCAGTTTAACAATATTTTCCTTATTAATTTTGACTATTATGTAACATCTATTTGCTAGGTTAGCATACTAATCCTTGATTCAAAAATTAAGAGTGTATGTTTAGTACCTGAGCATCCAGACCAAAAGGATTCTTCCTGATGGCATCCTTTAAATGTGCCCGTTCCAACACCTCCCACAGGTCAGCATCATTGTGCTCACTAAATGGATCAAGATTAAATCTCACAGTTCCTAAACACAATCAAGACAATCAGTATTAGACAGTTTATCATTAGATGATTTCAACTATCAAAGGGAGAAGACTGTTATATTAAGCATACTAGATAAGCAGGAAATGGAAATAAAACAATGATCATGAGAACCCATCTAGAATGTGAAATGGTACCTGAGAAAAGAATTGGTGATTGTGGTATGATACTAAGAGCCTTCCTTAGGTCTGTTAGTCCAAATTTAGCAAGATCACAATCATCAATTGAGATTCTTCCTTTTTCTACTTCTACAATCCGAAATAATGCATTTAGGATGCTTGATTTTCCTGCACCGGTTCTTCCCACAATCCCAACCTTCTCACTTGGAGAAATAGTGAAGGATAATCCATGCAAAACTGGAGGAAGTTCAGGCCTGTAACGTAGGACAACATCCTCAAACTTAACTGATCCTGATGAAGGCCACCCAGCTGGTGGTCGATTGCTCTCAATTACATCTGGAGCTTCTGAAGGTAAATCAATGTATGTGCCCACACGCTCCACAGCATTTAAGCTGTTCTCAGCCTTACTTGCTAATCTTAGGACATCACTCAAAAGAGTAGTGATGTTTAAAGAATAACTAAGAAGCAGACCCATTGTTGATGCAGATGCTGCTGTATTCTTTGCTCCTCCATTCTGCATAACTGCAAAGGTAGCTGTCAACCAAATCATGACACCTCCTAATGTTTCCAATCTTGTATCAAGCCAACGATTCAAACTGGTACTTGCAAGAGTGAATCTCATGTTATTATCCATGTACTTCCCATTAATGTTGGCCATCCTATCATAAGCTTGGTATGCACGGATTGTTGATAAACCATTTAACGATTCTCCAAATTGTGCATAAACAGGAGATCTGGTAATGGAGTCCAACCGCTTTATTTCACGGGCTGTGCTCTGTAAACAGAAAATAATCATCAATATTTGTGCAGGAAAAAGCTGCAATGCGTGTCATAATTAAAGTGTATAAGTGGTTAGATAATGATTCATATCTAGGGCTTAGAACAGTAAAATACCTGATAATATAGATAGGCGGCGTAAAACAAGATAATAAGTGGAAGTATGGCCCATAAGGAAATTGTGCTCACAATGCCTATCAGGGCAAAAGTTGAAAGAAGCTGCCAGAGTTGACCGAGGAATATCTTCATAAAATTAGCAATGTGGCGATCTATATCATCTACATCCCTTGAAAACCTATTTATCACACGTCCTATTGGATTGGTGTGAAAAAATAGCATTGGTGCTCTTAGGATTGAATTTAGCATGGCATCATGCAGCCTTCTAGCTGCACAAAGACTTGAAATGATCAACCAAAAGGAGTTCATCAATGTCACAGCTACCTGAATCCATCAATATATGACCCAGAAAAAAAAAAAAAAAATCAGAAGATATAGAGTAAATCAAACCTATCTGGAATTATGCAAAATCTCTTTCTTCTTGATTTTCAACCTATTGTAACTTGTCTCATCATCATATGCTACCACAACTTGGCATTTGTTTTATGATTTTCCGTTCAATTTACTTCTGAGCATCTATTAGAATTACGTTCTTTTACAAAATGTTTTGTATGGAAAAAGAGACTTTTAACTCTTGAAATAATTGAAGATAATTGTTCTAAAAGTAGCATCGGATGAGATTCCATCTACTCACTGTGTTATTTATTTAATCAAAGGAAACCATCTACTCACTGAAAACAAACCTGTCCAAATGCTAGAAGTGTATAAATGAGTATGTAGAAGCCAGGTTCATAATTCTTTGAAGTGCCTTGATCTGTCCAGACCCTTAACCAGGTGCTACTTAAAATTCGAAGAACTTCAGTTGATAAATAGCATGTAAAGAGTATCATAACTACCCATAGGCCTCCTAGTGCATCTTTGTACCTGCAAATAGAGGCTAAATTAACACATAATTTCAAATAATGTTCCACATTTTCAATCTAAATGAAAAATATACCACACTCCATCTGGGTTTAGATTCGTCAAAGAGAAGAAGAATCAATAGTTATGATCATTATTTGGAAAGAAAAAATGGTATGAAATATTATCTGTAAGTCCTATAGTTATAATGATATTCTACATTACCTCATCCAAACATTCCAACTGACAACACCTGTTTCCCTTTCTTCTTGTTTGATAAGCACAGATTTTCCCCCTTTACCCTGTCTTGAATGGTTTGGTAGATCATTCATCTCACCAACATCATTAGCAGCGTCTTTTGAGATTATCTCATCTAAGTTTTTTTCTTCATTTTCTTTTCCTTGTTCATCCATTTCTTCCATTTTCCCTGCATTTTCCATCATTTTCTGGAATAGCTTGCCATTTCTTGAGAGCTCCTCAAAAGTTCCCTCTTCTTTAATCATACCTTCAGAGATCAAAATAATTCGGTCCACATGTGGAAGAAAATGCAGCTGGTTAGTGACAAGTATCCTGGTTTTCCCTAGCAGCTCTTCCTTAATACATTTGTTGAAAACCTGGTACAAGCAGGAATCCAAAAAAAAGGGGAATATATGATGACAGTTGATTGCAGAAAATTATGCTAGGAATGTGATGTTGGTCAAAGTGGTCCTCTGGTGATCTTTCACCACTTAGCATGAACTAGTACCTGTCGTCCAACATGGGCATCTAGAGCACTTAAAGGGTCATCAAATATGTAGACATCCGAATTGGAATAGACAGCTCTTGCCATGGAAACTCTCTGCTTCTGCCCACCACTAATATTCACCCCTCTTTCACCAATCTCTGTGAGATCATGACCCTGAGGGATAAAGTGTCAGTATTGGAGCCATTCCACATTAAGCATGCTTAATTACAAACATATAAAGAATTAAATCCACTTACAGGAAGTAAGTCAAGATCATGCTGCAATTCAGTAACATCTATTGTCTTCCAATATCTTTCCCATTCAAATCCAGATCCAAATAATATATTGTCACGTACCTGTAAGAACAAAATTGGAGGCCAGAACTTAAAAGCATGATTGTCAATATGAAAATTTTCAAATGCAAAGGAGATGAGAACCAGTGGATACAGAGGAAGCACAATTCTTTTTTGGCCATTGAGGACGCACTACTCCAGAGCCTTAAGAAGCTATGACTTACAGTAGCATTGAAAATCCATGAAACTTGAGGAACATAAGCAACTGTTCCTCTAATAACAACACTTGTATCAGCCATAGGAGGCAGCTCTCCTAGCATTGCTGATATAAGTGATGTTTTCCCTTCTCCAGTTCTACCAATAATTGCAACTAAGCTGCCAACTGGCACATCCAAATTGATGTTTGATAATGTAGGCTTCTCTGCCTGAAAAAAAAAAGTTTTATTCTTGGAAAGCAAAACATTTGAGTATAAACAGAATTGATGACTTAAAATTGAATTAGCAATTTTTATATGGGTGATTAAATTACAACTTGAAAGCATATATTCAGGAGTGAAAGTAGAACTCAACCTTTGAATCCCAAGAAAAATTTCCATTCTTAATTGAGATGGCTGGAAGCCCTGGTTCAAGAGGTGGATTTGATGCCAGAATTCTCTCTTCAGCTAGGAGTAGCTCCTCAATACGTTGTAATGATACGTTAGCATTGACAACCTGAAAGACAAAAGCTTTGCATGGTTAAAAAACACAATAGATGCACTTTGATGTTACATATTTTAAAGTTATTAATCTTTTGAAATCCTGAATTTTTGGATCTGTTTCAAAGTGAAAAATAATATATTACTAGAAAACAAAATCTAAAATAAGACATATTTGGTTGTCTTCACCATAGACCAGCATGCAGGCATAACAGGGGTGAGACGGGAAAAACCTGACTTAATAAATTGGGAAGCATGTCCAGAGGAAATCGCAGCACTGCAAACAGAGAAAGTGACGTAAATGCCCTGGACGGTGTCAGATCTCCACCAAGCAAAGTGAATGTCCCAAATGAAACCACTGTCATGACAACTGGTATGCTGTTGAGGATGAAACTGTTAAGCTGCAGAGGAAGGCAACTATTTAAAAAAATTAAATAAAAACAGCAATTCCAGAGGTAGTACTGATAACAAGAACTTATGATAGGATGAAGAATGCAATATGATGGTGTTGCATTTAAATTTTCCATGGAACAGTGAAGGATACAGTTGTGATCGAAAATTTATATGGCAACTAGCGAAACCAGCATGCTTCTGGCATCTTTCAAACAAATAGGAGAGCAATAAGAGTTAAGCAATGTTCAAGTTTCAAGCCATACAGCAGATAGAAAGTTTGCTTTGCGGTTCCATGACAGCTCCTCATGTCGTGCACTCTGGACTCGAGATTGAAAGCTCTTCTCCCACGCATAACATCTGAAACATTTTCCGGCATGGAGCCAGTAAAACCATTATTGTTGGCATATGGCATGACATGTAGAAAAATATAAGGGCAATTTCAAATTCAACCGTACTTCACAGTGTCCATGGCAGCCAAAATTTCATTCATGAGGCTAACTCTCTTGTCAGTCCATTGCAGTCCTTCCTTGGTCACTTTTCGCATTTTGCTAATGAGAAGGATCTGTCCTTGGGAGACAGAAGAGAAAATTAGTACAAGACTCAATGAATGAAAGATGAAAAACAAATACTTTCATGATGGACAGTATAGAAAATGATGACATAAAGGCATCAGAAACCATTGGTTTGTGATAGCATTTCCTTATCAAATCATATTGTTTAAAAGTTGATATTTGAAACAAAATTTAATTTAGGCATGGGCCTTTTTTTACCTGTAGAGGAACCATAAGAACTAGAATTGACAGTCCAAGAAGTGAAGCAACACCAAGCTGCTGGTAAAGGAGAACCATAGACAGGATAAAACGAAATGGAGCAGACCATAATCCATGAAGTTGTTGGCAGATTTGCTGGACAAAGCATAGTTACATCAATCACAGCTTAACCCAATCACTCTCCCTAACCCCAAGAGAACAAGATAAAAGTTTCATCAAATAAAAGTGCATTATTTGTACCTTACAATGTTATGCATAAAATTCCAGGTTACTTTACCATTCAACCCATATCTTTAGCCATTTAGGATGGGTTAAGACAACTTTAAAGGTTACCGTTAAGTGGAAAATCCCACATTAATTCATTGGGGAGAAATCTGTGGACTTAGAAATAAGATGGACATCCCCGCCTTCTACTTATTGGTTTTAGGCTGGATGCTTCTTTATCATGGTGCATACCCAAGGACTGTCCCAATATTTGTAGTTTCATGTTATTCCCTGGGTTTCCTCTCATTAAACATCAACTTCGTTATTAGGGGAAATTCCCAAAAAACGGTGCTTTCAGAAACACAAATGATGATTTAGGAGAGGTTAGAAAATTATTTCCACAAAAGGCCTTAATTTTTGGAATTATTCCAAATCAGTATCTCATAATGCAAACTCAAAAATGTTTTGAAATAACAAACTGCAATTATGTGTAGTTAGATGACATATAGAGATTATGATTAAGATATCCAATCATAACAATAAACAACGGATTACATTGGGTTAATATAGAATTAAATTATTTTGTAGCCACTGAAAAATTACTTTCTATACCACACACACAACACTGTAGATTAATAATTTACCATTTACCATAGATACAAACCTGAAGTGCATTGGTATCTGTCGTGATCATGTTTGTTAACTTTCCGGATGGAAAATTCTTGCGAGCCTCTTGAGTGAGTCTTAAAGATTTTTGAAATATAGCAGCCACCTATAAAAGGGGCAGTAGGATATATAAGGAACGCCCAAATCTGAAACAGCTAACTAATTCAGCAAAGCTATAATAGAACTTCAATGTTTGCCAATATTCTGTACTGAATTGAGTATAGCTCAATAATTCAGCAAAATAAATAGCTCCATGCAAAGCTAACTTATTCAGCAAAGCTAGAATAGATCTTCAATGTATGCCAATATGCTGTACCTATTAATATAGCTCCATGCATGCCAAAGAATTTTTGTAAGGAGAAAAGTTTACCAAGGTGGACTGTAGCCGGAGACCAACACGCCGGACATTGTGAACAAAATGGTCCAGAGATAGCGTGCCAAATGTCTGACAAAAGTTAAATTAAGTAGTCAATATAAGAACCGCTAAAGGTGCTGCCCATGATAATCATTTCCTTCAATTGAAGTTCATATAATAATCCCTTATAAAAGTAAAGGATTAGAAATGTACCACAACAACAAAAATTAAGAAGGCATAAATATAGCCAATCCAAGCTGGGTCTCCTTGTTCCATTGACTGCAGACCATAAAATAGTAACTGTAAATTTTCCTTGGACTAGCATAACATGAGGCATAAAATAAATAAACTCCGGCCTAAAGTGAAATAGAATTAACAGCTACAAGATCAGATACTTTAGTACTTTTTAGAGTAAATCTGCAAAACTATTTCTTGTCAGTAATATTATATATCAACATTATAGAAATTATTGAAAACAAAACAAGTCATTTAAATATCACAATATATTTCCTTCACCTCTTTATATAATTGTTAATATTTCTGTTAACCACTAAGTACACAAGTTACATAGTATTATAGTAATCTAACATGACATTAGATTCAACTTTGTATCTAATAGATTTAAACGTAATTCATGGAACATAACCATTGTTAAGGAATATGGTTAAATAATAAGCAAATTGATCATGAATCTTCAAAAGAATTGAAAAAGTAAAATATGAAGCTAACCTTTAGGAGATGGTTCAATAAAATTGGCCCAGCTAGCTCAGTAAGGTCAAAGCAAATCTACATTGGTCAAATGAGAAAAATAAGTGCCTGAAAATAAATTTCAGATTCTCTAACACAATCCACATTGGACGAGCCTTCATATAGTCTTCTACAAGAATAGTTCATCTCTACAAAATATGCAAAATTGAAAAGCAAAATCAAAATCTGGGTAACATGCTCATTACCTGAAATAGGCCTGCAAACCAAAACCTGCAGGAGACATTAATATAAAAAGAAGTTAATTAAGGAAGAAATGGGTCAAGAAAGAGAGCATATATACTTTGCTAGGAATATTTGTTTGGAAAAGTTTGGAGATAAAGAGTGAAGGGAAATAACATATAGTTAATAGATACCTTCGACCTAGACTATTATTCAATGCTCTTAAAAGCCACGGCTTCTCTCTTTGAGTTTCTTCAACCCAACATCTTTGGAACCTACAAAGGTTAAAACTATTATCCAAGTAGATCAGCAGTAAAAAACCATGCAGCAGCAAGTACAGTGGAAGAAACAGATACAAACTTCTTCATCAGTGTTTCAGTCTGATCCCATGTGTCTAACTTCCAAACATCCTTTTCAGTGATAGGTCTTCTAGAACCTTGCTGTATGAGAGGAGCAATCCATCCAAAAAATATTCCTACAAGAGGACAATTCACCAAATATTTAGTTATAAGACCTAGATAAAACTGAGATTCCATCCCCTCTACCTCTGTATTTCATTACCAAGAAAAGCATAAGAATGAAGTAGATAAGTTTGGGGCTCATCTAACAAAATACCCAGAACTCAACCTAGTTATGGTTTTTAAGCTTGTGGTATCTAGAATGCTAGTTAGAACTACTTACTAGAGAATATATTGGCCTGCCTCTCAGGACAAATTTGCTCTCCATCGGGAAGTGCTTCATATTCAACATTGTCAAGAGACTCACTTCGTATGATAACATAACCAGGATACGGATTTAAATTAGGAACATAAACCAGCAGAAGGACCCCAAACAGAACCTGCATCACAAAAATAGGATGAATTAATGTAATATTCATCTTTTAAAATGACTTCAATGTAAATGCAAATGATAAGCCCTATGTCATAGATAAATGGCCATTTCCAATCCTTTCTTTTGATCTGTAAAGTGCCCACTGTCCATCTCAGTTGGGTATTTATATGCAGAGATGGACATCCTAATCACAACCTTGATGCTAGCTAGGCTACTTTGAATCACAAGAAGTTGTGATGGCCTCACTTAACCAGGAGCAGACTAGGTCCGGGGGCTGGTAACACTGATTAATCAGGACTAGCTTTAAGACCAAGACTAAAGTTGACAATATATGGCCTTTCGGGGAGCAAGGAAGAAGGTCCCAAGTCCCATCATTCATGTCAACCTTATAGTAGCAAAAAGATAGTAGAGTACGATTAAAAAGAGGAAGTACAACAAACCTCACATAAAACCATGCTGATGTACAAATATAAGGCAGATCTGCATGCAAAGAAAATTGTGATTAGTAGCTGCCTGTTAACATGCATAGATGTCAATCCAGAAAGAGTGCATGAAATCTCACGGCAAAACACAGTTACTTAGGAAAAAAGGTGCAGAAAAAGGAAAGATTGTTTACACTTCTGGTAGAGAAGAAAGTAAATTAATTAATGGGAGAAATCTGACCCATTATAGAAGTCCCTCATTGGAAGAATAACATTGAGCAGGGCAGCATCCCCGACCAAAACATAAACAACTCCAAACCTCACATACCAGCGGAACTCCTTGATGTAAATTTTAGTTTCCAATCCAATCAGAATCACCATGGAGCACCAAGCAAGAGCTTCAATGATCGAAGAAGTTGCCTGCAAGTGAATAATTTGTAAAGAATATGAGTTGCCTGCAACATCCAACAATCACTCACAAAGGGATGATTCATTTGAAAGATAAATACCAAACTATAAAGTCTAAAAATCAACTGTACACAAATAATTAGAACAGTTTGAATAGAAATTGCACCTCAAAGGGAGCAAGGCCAGTCTCTCCATCCAGATTAAAGACTGAAATACCCATGACCAACCTTGAAAGCGGCTCAGCAACACAATAACCAGACAATAACCCCAACAGATAATTATACCAATTTGACCTCAAACAGAACCTTTGAGCTTTGGCATGCTTTTTAATCAGCCATATCCGGTATAAGCAGAGGCCCAAAAGAACCAGATGAGAAATGGAAATCACCAGGGAATCAATTGCACAAGGTGTGTATGCACCAAAAGAACTATCAGCTTCTTTTGTCCAGACCCCATTAGCAACTGGCCGGCAGTACCAATTCAATGGCTCAAAGCCCATCTTCAATCACCACCCTGAAAAAGTTCAAGACCAATTAAACATTTCTCCGTTAGTTTCAATTTCACTTGAAAAAATTTTTATGGGCATATATGAAAGTTCGATGCTTTTACAATTACTTGCTATATCAGTCCCCAAACTGCTGTTCTTAACACAATGCACAACCTAGATTAAGAATAAACCAAAAATCATACTTCAGAAGCTGGAAGAACTAAATGAAACGTATGATAAAATTGTCACAATATTCGATTTCTACTCAGAGAAAAAAACAACACAAAACCCACTTCCTCTCCAATCACATCCATCCAAGATATTGACTCACATAGACAAAACAGTTCAATATGTAAAAATAAATTTAATATCCAAGTGGGACGGAAAAAGGCTTTTAAATTGCATCCTAGAATATACTTCTACTTTAAAATTGAGAGCAACGTAAACCCAAAATCCGGAAGTATCAGTTATTTATTTCCTTACCCAGAAAGCAAACAAAACAAGGAGAGGGATAATCCTACCTCTGTCCCAGGACTGCTACTGGTGCTGCTACAGAGGTTAAGGTTAAGCCCTCAAGAGAATCATGGGCAGTGGAGTCAACGGAATACATGGTCTCCATGGTTGGTTAAATATATAGCTTTGAAAAAGAAGTTTTCTTTGATAAATTTTCAAAGGTTGGAAAAAAGGCAGATAGTTCGAGTGACAGAGACAAAAACATACTATGTTTTGCAAGCATGATGGGTGACAACAGCAACCCCACATTAAGATACGTATAAAGCTCCAGTTTTGACCCATTTTTCAGCCACTATGAGCATCTCTGACTCTGTTTCCATGTATGTTCTGTAAAGAAACGATTTTTTAAGCAAATGTGAAAATGAGGAGAAGATTAGTTTATAAAACAGAATCTTCTAGATGCAAATCATGTATGGTGGGTGAAGAAGATTCAATCATATATCATCACAATTTCTTGTTTGAATGATTTTTTATTTCCCTTCTCCCCTCATCAGCAAGCAGATGCAATTAGAAAAGGACACACCAACAGCGTTAGAGATTTAACATTTTTTTTAAAATTTTTTTAATGTATATTAACTAAAAGCTAAGAATATATTTTTATTAAAAATTTATATACAAAAATATAAAACTTAATATTAATTTTAATATTA